CTGTAAGATGGTTTCATATTCTTTAGCTATTATGAGTCCATACAATGCATTCATTGGAGCTAATGACTGGGATTCACCATGGAAGACCAATACAATCCTAATGAATGAGAGAAGAGTAACCAACACATATCCAACAGGTGAACAAACCACAGATAAAGAAGCAATAAGGATCTACTTAACACAGCCCAAACAACAAGCTGATTTCAAAGCCTGTCTGTCATCGCAGAATTGTAATGTCTAGCTGCTACAGTGAAGGATAGCACTCTCAGATCTTTACTGAACAGGTTGTTATTGATTTGATATAAATCAGCCACCCTCATATCAGGAATTTTCTATCTGTGTTAACGGACACTATAGGCACCCCGACCACATCAGCTCATTGAAGTGGTCTGGGTGCAGTGTCCCTGTCCGCTTAGCCCAGACATGTACTAGACTGCCACTAGAGAAGTTTCCTGCTGTTTCATGGATTCTAACTCCGTAAACCAATGCTGGACGCATGAGGACATTCAGCTTCTTGAAAAACCCTATTAAAAAGCTTTGATTCAATCCTTTCCTATGAGGAAAGCATAATGCGACGGTCTTTGCGACTAGAATTGGGTAAGTGTTTTAAAGGATTTTTAACCCTTTAACTGCCACAAAGTGGTGGGGTGTGTGTGTGGGGGGATGGGGATAGGGGGGACAGGGGCAGGTGGACACTATAATGTTAGGAATGCGGCTTTGTATTCCTAACACTATAGTGTTCATTTAAGTATGTGCACATTTCATAAAACAAAATAGGATAAGCGCTAAAGAACCAACTATATGAGCAAAAGGAATAGGTTGTAGACATTGAATGTAAGGCATATACTTAACCACTTACTGCAGAGAAAACAGAACAATACAAAAAGCAAAAACAGGTTGCAACAAACACTGAATTCAGTAAGTCCAATACATTCAAAAAATTATTTGACAAGAAAAATCTTTTATATTTATCTGGATGCTGAGAGACTAATCCTCAAGAGCAGTTTCATGCAGAGCTGGTCTATAGCTCTATCAAATGTGAGTGTTAAGCCACATATCCTTGTTATGTAGTACTTATTGGACCTTTTGAATCCAGTGTTTGACGAAACCTGTTATTGTGTTTTGTATTGTGCACATTTCATGTTTATTGATGAGGCCTAAGGATATTGAGGTTTCGTATCTAAGGTAATAGATGTTGACTCATATAATATATTTTCCTTTTGCTCCAAATTGTAGAAAACATCCATATATTGCCATATTTTCTACCAGTATTGACAGCATGAGAGTTAATCAAACTGTCTAATTTATCTACATTACACAAAGATATTGCAAGTGAACCAGTAGGTCTGTTCAAGTGCATTTTCTCCTGCCTTTCTGTATCTAAAAGACTGTCTGTAGTTTTGCATGAAAACATTTCTGTAATGGCTATTGCTCCCCCTAGTGGATTCTTTACTCAAGTTTGTCAATGCCCAGTATGAATTTATTATTATCACTATAATTTATATGTAGCACCATATATGGACAACTCTAAGCTGCCACATCGGTGGAGTTTTATATCCAAGCACTACTTGAGAGAGGTCCAACTTACATTTCTGCAACCCGTGACAACCTGTCTTTGATGTAAAGTAAAATTTCAAGTACACTTGTTCTAGTACACCGAGAACCTCAAGGAATGTTCCTTGAACGATCAGCATGTAGCTGTCAACAAATAAACGCACATTGCTATCCTTTTCAATCAATTGTGCTGCTATGTAATCTAGTGATCAAACAGCTTTAAGAATAATTATTTTTTACAGAAATAGATTTTATGTTAACACTGAGAATAAGCAAAAAAACAAAACAAAAAAAACCAATAAAAATTACATTTACAAAAAGAATATATGCAGTAGACACATGCAATTCGTTTCAGGCTGAATATATATTCGGACGAATTTCAGGCAATTCGGACATTCGGGTACTTCCGAATGTCCGAATAGCTGAAGTGCCGAATTACCGAGGTCCCGAAGTTCCGAAGTGTCGAAGTGCTGAAGTGCCGAAGTTCCGAAGTTGCCGAAATTCTGAAGCACAGTATTGCCTAAGTACTAATATACTCACCCAGTGGAAGAAAAAGAATGTTACACTGTATACAATTTGAAATAAAAAGTATACAAACATAGCCAGGATTCAGCTGTAAGCATTTGCAACACTTACAACAATCAAGTAACACACATTCATAAAAAAAGTAAGTTACTTGGCCAGTCAATGTAATGACAGGAATGAATAAGTAGATAACTCCCTAATTCCCACGGTATTAGGGAGCTATCTACTGAAAGGCTGAAAGACCTAAATTGGTCTTTCAGCCAAATTTACTAATACTAAGTAAACATTACTTAGTATTAGTAAATTATGCCCCTACTCGCTATATCGCGAGGAGGGGCAGGTCTATTAAACAGCAGCCTGTGGCTGCTCACTGTAAAAAAAAAAAAAAGTCCTCCCTAAAAGACTCATAACTGTCTGATTGGTTACTTAATCCACCAATCAGAGATGGTCCCCCCTCATTATTTTTAGGGTGAGGGGGTAGGTAGGGGTTAATTATTTTTGGAGAGGGGGGTGACTAGGGGTTTGGGGACCCCTAGTCACGCGGGGGAGGGGAGTTAATTTTTTTATTTAGGGCCCTCACCCGCCGCTCACGGGTAGGGGCCAGGGGGAGGACATTAGGTCCCCCCCTAATTAGTATTTAGGGCCACCACCAATGCTCAGGGGTGGGGGCCAGACGGGAGGACATTAGGACCTCCCCCCTTATTCTAATTTAGGGCCCTCACCCACTGCTCAGGGGTGGGGGCCAGGGGGAGGATAATAGGTCCCCCCCCATTATTTTACTTTAGGCCCCCCACCCACTGCTCAGGGGTGGGGGAGGACAATAGGTCCCCCCCATTATTTTACTTTAGGGCCCCCACCCACCACTCAGGGGTGGGGGCCAGGTGGGAGGACATTAGGACCTCCCCCTTATTCTAATTTAGGGCCCCCACCCAACGCTCAGGGGTGGGGGCTGGGCGGAGGACAATAGGTTCCCCCCCATTATTTTACTTTAGGGCCCCCACCGGCTGCTCAGGGGTGGGGGAGGACAATAGGTCCCCCCATATTTTAATTTAGGGCCCCCACCCGCCGCTCAGGGGTGGGGGCTGGGGGGGCAATAGGCCCCCCTTATTCTAATTTAGGGCCCCCACCTGCCACAGGCTGCTCACTGTTTAATAGACATGCCCCTACTTGCGGTATAGCGAGTAGGGGCACAATATACTAATACTAAGTAATTTTTACTTAGTATTAGTAAATTTGTCTGAAAGACCAATTTAGGTCTTTCAGCCTTTTGGTAGATAACTCCCTAATACCGTAGGAATTAGGGAGTTATCTACCAAGCGGCTGCAAGAGAAGTTCCGAAATTCCGAAGTCCCGAAGTTGCCGAAGTTCCGAAGTTCCGAATTGCCGAGGTCCCGAAGTTCCGAAATTACTGAAGTGTCGAAGTGCCGAAGTTCCGAAGGGTTGAAGTGTCGAAGTTGCCGAAGTTGCCGAAGTGTCGAAGTGCCGAATTGCCGAAGTCACAAATTGCAGAAGTCCAGAATTTCGGAATGTCGAACTGAACCAAAATTTTTTCCCATGCACATGCCTAATATGCAGTTGTAAATCAGACTGACACCACCCATACCCAAAAGGGCTATTCAGACATGGAGACTTTGCTCATTGTACCTAGAGGGGTTTTATCCACATTTCACTGAAGAAGAACATCAAGGCAGAAGCGATCATCCGAAGCTGGTGTATCTCTCGTGCTAAAGGGGGGTTTCCAGCTGTCAAGGCAGATACACCCCAACAGCCAACCCTAAGGCACAGAGTGTCCTACGCTAATGATATATAATGTATTACCGACCCTTAGAGTCCCCGGGCCTAATGTGGCATAGTATAGAACACAGGCTGACAAACAGACAAAAGAGTAAACAGGAACGAGTACATAAATATGGCAAAAATAAAAAAAGGAGGTTTAGGATAATCCAGTTACAATTAAAAAAAATTAAAAAAAATTAGCACCTGCACAATTAGTTCAGAGACACCAGGGCTCATACACTGTTTAACATCATACACCAGATAAGCCAAAACAGAAGAGGTTTTTAGCGCCTAAGTGCTGCAGGTGCCGTAAGTGACAAAAATGTTTAAGGGGTTATACCCGAAACGTTTGTCACTTAATGGCTTTCCTTCAATGCTACAGAACTTAAGTGCCATGTAAAATCTTTTTGTAACCCTTTAAAGAGTTATACTTGAAATGTTTATCACTTAATTGCAAAGGGTTATACCTGAAACATTTGTTTCTAAATGTCCTTCATTAAATAATACAACAGGATATAAATGATACACATAGATTCTATATAAAACTTCCTGTGTGCCCTTGTTCTGTTTTTCTTTTCTTAAATAATATCTGGTACGTTAATATTGATAAGTGAAATAAAATAGCAGAGCCGAAGTCTAATAATAGAAAGATCAGAGTAGTTAATGAACAGAGTCAAGTCAGTATCCAGAAAGCACACTGAATCTTAGACTTGGAGATTAATCTTTGTTCGAACTGCAATGCCTGTTTAAAACACAGATGTATTGTTTTAGACAAGTAACTACAGTATGTGGATAGTGTGCTTACCTGAATCTAGCACCACAGACTAATTCTGAATCACAATCGAGAGCTGGTTCTTTTTTAGAACAAGCTTGGCAGAACTCCCAATGACCCAGACTGAGGGACAGAAACAGATGGGGGTACAGGCCAGATCGATTGAAAAAAAAAAACTTCAAACAGCAATACCAAAAATAGGGTGATAAATCTATCAAATCGTCCTCTTTCTCAGACACACACATCCCTCTCCTTTAGCTCTCCTTTATACCCACTCCTGGAGCCGATAAGTTTAACTGGTTAAAGGACACCAACCTTTTTGGTCGGAAACTCGCTCTGAGTGCATTACGTAAAAAAAAAAAAAGAAAAAAGAATGGCTAAAGAAATAGGAGTCTCACCCGAGGACTACCAACATGTTAAAACATTAGTCACACTACTTGAGGATCAGGAAAAAGATCCACCCTTAACCGATTTGAAACCATTAAGCTGGTATACACCTAATTTCAAAGACATAATAAATGTGGATTTATTTGTACAAATAACCACTGAAAAAATTGAACAACTGAATGTCAGACAAACACCCATGACCAGCAATCTGTCCTATGCTGAGAACCAAGCCCTAAAGGAATTAAGCTCTGATAAAAACATAATTATCAAACCCTCAGACAAGGAGGGGAATATTGTCATCCTGGAAAAAGATAAATACATAGACATATGCATGACCCATCTCAATGACATATCCTGTTATAAAAAACTCCAAAGGGACTCCGCTGCAAAGTATCTACAGTTTAACCCCTTAAGGACACATGACATGTGTGACATGTCATGATTCCCTTTTATTCCAGATGTTTGGTCCTTAAGGGGTTAAACAACTAATCACTAAGGCTAGAGACAGTGAGATAATAACCCAAGATGAATTTACATTTTTACTACCTAACAACACTCCAACAGTGGCTACTTTTTTATTGTTTGCCTAAGATACATAAGAATCCAACAAACCCACCAGGCAGACCGATCGTCTCTGGGAACAATTCTCTCACAGAACAACCTAGCAAGTACTTAGAAAAAATACTTCACCCCCTGATTATAGAATTACCATAATTTATACAGGATACAAAACACAAACTACTAACGTTGGAAAATCTCTTGGTACCCCCATACACTCTTATTGCCAGCCTTAATAGCCACTTCATATTTCTTAGAAAAGTCTCAAAAATTTACCACACCGCAAATAACATTCTTGATGGAAACCTTGGAATTCATTCTTACCCACAATTCTTTTTGTTTTTGATGGTGTTTACTACCTACAGACTAGGGGCACAGCTATGGGAACAACCTGTGCCCCTAGTTATGCCAACCTCTACCTTGGATGGTGGGAAAACCACCATCCTGACAGAAACAATACAACCCGGTTACAAACAATTTATCCTCCGCTGGCATCGTTACATAGACGACATCTTAATTTTTTGGACTGGCCCGATTATTATTTTTGAAGAGATGGTTTCCAAATTGAAATTGAACAACATAGGCCTAAAGCTTACTCATGTTATTAGTGAAAATCAATTTGAGTTTCTCGACCTTACCATTCATGTATCACCTGGAGGCGAGATTACTACTGCATTATATCGGAAACCTACCTCTTGTAATAACTTACTGCATTGGAATAGCCACGATCCGTATAAGCTCAAATCTGGCATTCCCTTCGGACAGTATCTAAGAGCAAAGAGGAATTGTTCTAGCGAGGAAACTTTTGTACAGGAAGCTAATACACTTAGAACACGCTTTAAAGAACAAGGATACCCTAAACAAGCATGTTTCACTTATGGATCGAGCCTCCTGTCTTAGAAACAAAAAAAGCCAGCCCAAAAACATATTACAAGATGTATTGGGACTTATGACCAGTTTTGGGACCCTATCTGCAAGATCTTTACATAAAATTGTCCCATACTTACCCACGACAGTGATGTGGCAACAAATCTACAACCTTTTCCGAGGATTATATGACGGAGAGCCACCAATTTACGCGACTTACTTGTCCACAGCCACTTGGAGCCTCAACAACTACCTCCAACCTGGCTACAATCATCCAAAGGGATGTTTAAATGTGGACACTGTAAAGCTTGCAAATATATCTTGCCATCCAAAACAGTAGTATGCACTAATACTAAAACTACATATACAATCAAAGAATTTATGAATTGCAGCACAACTAAAGTCATCTATGTGATCACTTGTAGCTGCAAACTACAATATGTGGGAAAAACCTACCAGGAATTCTGTAGGCGAGTGCTACAACATGTCAACTCTGTGACAAATTCTAACATCTCTACACCAGTTGCAAATCACATAAGAAATTTTCATAATACTGATCCTACCAATTTGAATTTTCAAATTTTGGAACACATCCATCTTAACAGAAGAAAAGGTAACTTCAACCTTATACTATTGAAGAAAGAATCTAGATGGATACATAAATTCAAAACACTGGCTCCTCACGGGCTCAATGAGGAGTTTAATTTCACTCCCTTCATCCATAATTCAACATGATATTAATTCAGGTTGCATTAACAACATTTAGGTATATTGGGGGAAGATAACATGGTGAACCACTAGAGTTCCCAGTTATCAATAACGGACCAGCTCTAGAACTGTTCCTTTAAATCCTGATACTTATATTCTATCTGATCGCCACTTATACAGTACAAAATTAACGGACAGATCGCTCATATTAGTAGCGCTTTAATAACTAGTCTATGACTAGTCCCTCTTTTCAAATACTGACTAACTTCAGTAAATATTCTTCAAAATCAATAACTAATCTGTTAGGACAATGCAACAACATCAGAATATGTCATTAATTTTTTAGTCCATTTTTTTCCCTTATGTTAATCTATGAATCTCCTATATAGGTCATTTGTAGTATTCTTTTCATTTAATCTCTGATACTAACAATAATTTGATTTGTTTCTCACCCATATTCTATGATATCTGAAACATTAGTAGAAACATAAAATGTCTGTTCTTCTCCACCAGGTTTCCTTTTATAGTCTCTATGCGTTATAGGTTCCAACTCAAAAACATAGCCCGCATCCGACCCTTTCTTACACAAGATGCTATCAAGGAGCTTGTCCATGCTCTATTAATTTCCCGCATGGATTCCTGTAACCCTCTCCTGATTGGTCTCCCCAAAAGCCGTATTGCCACGCTACAGTCTGTAATGAATGCTGCAGCTAGACTGATTTTCCTCTCTAGTCGGTCCTCTCACACCTCACCCCTCTGCCAGTCCTTACATTGGCTTCCTGTATCCTATAGGGGTCAATTCAAAGTGCTAACCCATACATTTAAAGCACTGAACAATTCTAGCCCCTCTTATATCTCTTCACTGATCTATAGGTATGCCCCTCCTCGTTCCCTCCGCTCTGCCCATGATCTTCTCCTGTCTGCTGCTCGCACCCGTACGGCCAACTCACGCTTGCAGGACTTCTTGCGGGCGGCTCCTTTCCTATGGAATAGCCTGCCTACTGCCATCAGACTCTCCCCTAGTCTTCAATCATTTAAGAAGGGCCTTAAAACCCATCTCTTCAGGAAAGCTTAAAGCCTCCCAGAGTAATCTCTACCTTACATACCTGTCTCTTGCTCTCTCCTATAGGACAGTGTTTTACTCTCTCCTCCAGCTCTGCTTCACTCCCACCCTATTTGATATTTCCTGTCCCAACGTTTCTAATACCCCACCTCCTATAGTCTGTAAGCTTGTTTGAGCAGGGTCCTCTTCAACCTATTGTTCCTGTAAGTTTTCTTGTAATTGTCCTATTTATAGTTACATCCCCCCTCTCATAATATTGTAAAGCGCTACGGGATCTGTTGGTGCTATATAAATGGCAATAATAATAATAATAGTATTCTTACTATATGCAATATTCGTGACCTTATTCCCATGGACAGCATGCACTAAATACTGTCCATAAGATCTGCATTAGTAATTAATTCTGATATCAGCCAGTATTCTCTGGCTGTAAAACTGATACAGAACATTCAACAAACTACCAGATCATTTTTACTTTTTTCCTCCATATATATAGTTATAAATGATTCCCAACATTATACACCGATCACTCTATCATCAGTGATCTCGGCTTTTAATGTATTAGCTTGCTAGAAGTCACATTCTTCGTATTACAATGATATCGTCACACTCCTACAGTTAAATATCTTTAGGGTTAAAAATTAGTAGCAAGAAAGCTAAAACCCTCCCCCTTTTCCTCATTGGTCATCTAACACATAAATACTGATACTTCCCTGTCTTCAGTTCCCCTCTGATGAGTAATCCAGATGAAACGCGCGCATCAGGGGCTGTCGACGCTTAGTCGGCTATACTTCTGCTGTTGTACTAACATAGCCGCAATCTCGCTAGCTACAATTGCTCCTTAATCTAGGCATCCTTTTTGTAGTCCTGTTTACTACCTATTAGCTTGCTATGGGGGGGTGTCAGAGAGGCAGTGTAGGCATTTGATAAGGGGTGCCCTCGAAGGTACTTAGATTTGTACCAATTAGCCAGCGCTAGGTTTGCGATACTCTATATACTTTCACTGATCGTAACATACTAAGCGTAGCGGTTCACTGTTTCTGAACCCTCCCGTGCTACAGGCACCTCATTATTACTTTCTGTTAATTATTGTTTTATTTCTCTAACCACACTGGTGTGCTATATAGCAATTTGATATTTAGAGCACAGGAGGCATTCCTCTCATATCGAGTAGACTCTTTACTGCAGGAGAGTCTATAGAATAGATGCACCCTGTGCTCCCCTCTGTTACTTTTTACTACACATTTTGTAGCAATCGTTATATTATGATTTATCAAGTATCTTTTTTCACTACCACTCTCTCTGCGATATTTGCTATTTGAGAGTTCAGTGTTAGCTCTAGCTAGACAACAGGACATAATTTAGCCTTGTGCTTTCTGTTTTTACTATTATTCTTCTATGTTTCTATTTTAGTATACTTATTAAAAGTTACGTTTTAAAGTTCATTTCTACTGTGACAATATCGATTATGATTCTATGTTGAGACACCCATTGGTAGTTTTTTTCTTTTTTCTTTTTCATTTATACTAGTTAGCCATTTAGGGATTATCCCCCATTTTTTTACTACCACTCTGTCTCATACCTCCATATAGGCTCTGTTTTTTCTTTTTTCTATCTACTGTATGCTTACCTGCAGTCACAATGTTTGCATTAGTATTTGTAGGATATTAGGCAATATGCATTTCTTTATTTTTATCACACCTACTGTATGTTGGAAAATATTTTTGAGCTTATGTGCAAATTTTTTTAAACTGGCAGAACTAAGACAACCAAGACAATATTTCTGGTAAAGATTAATGAATCCATTGCAAATTTAAATTGTGCTAACCTATATAATTAAAATTTTTAAGTATCTCTAAAATGAATTTTGCCTTAATTTTATATGCTAAGTATAACTCCCATTTTACCTAGACATTAGATTATTACTTTAAAAATTATATTAATAGTGAATGGGGTTAATATTTTCATATTCGAGTGAGATAAAATGCTGATTTTGCTATTTTTTTTGCAGTAAAAGATTCACATAAAGTTTTAATGCTTGCACATCATATTTAATGACCATTTATTACCCAGTCTAATTTTTTAAATGCTGCTACTGCACATTATCAATTATATTTCATTAAGTTACTCTGACACATCTATCAGAATCTGTTTAATTTGAAATGTCATTATGAGTGGCAGTATGGGGGTGGTGTATGTGTGAGTGTTTTTGCAATGATGGGTGAAAATTAACCAACATATGTGCATGCGTGTGCATGTAATGATCACATGTGAATAACTAGTCAATATTAATATGAGGATAATATGAAAAAGGTAGAAATACAAATGAGAAAATATGGATCTTCTAGCCTCTAAATCTGTGTTTTTTTCTGTTATTTAAATCCCAAATCCAATATGAAAATAGATTAATTTAGCCATAGTGTAACAGCCTGCTAAATCATAACTTAAAGGGGCACTATCACTACTTAGAATTTTTTATG